GTGTCTCTTACACCGCAAGTGTATGAGCGCATGGGAGGACGTGAGGAGGTTTGCTGAAGCACCCACAGGTATGGAGAAGAGGGAGTTAACAGTGGCTGTCTTAGTATAGTCAAGTTAGACTTGAAAAAGGATGGCCTCACTGCTTTTGCATGTATTATACATATCCCTGAAGATGCGAGCACTTGCACGGCATCCTGCCTGCACAAAGAGCTCAGCCAGTGTAACGTGTTCTTCTTCCCCAGGAGATGAAATTCAACAGTAACTCTGGAGTTTCTGGCTCCTGGGTTCACGTCTCAAGCAGCAGTGGCTGAGTAAAAGCATAATAAGCTCTATCACTGGGCTAGTCGGGATGGGGGAGCAGGTAGGGTCCTAGGTTAGAGGCCTGCCGTGATGACCAGTTTGTAGATCACCTCTCGGCTGCTCGAGCGAGAGCAGCTGTCTAGGAACCAAGTGAGGACATGTGTGGGATGGAGCCCACAATCCATCCATCTTCGCTGTCTGTCTGTTTGCATGTTTCCATCCTCTGCCTCCTGTATCTGGTGCTGATATTAATGAAAATAATACTTGGAAACCAGAAAGCAAGGCTTCTCCTGCCAGGAGTCTGGGCAGTAACAAAAGCATCTTTCGAGGTAGCATTTGCAGCTCAGAAACATAAAGCGATGTGCGTAGTCCCAGAGATCATTTCCTGCTGTGTTTTCTTTTCAGGACAAAGGTTCTTTCTTTTTTCTTACTATTGTAAGAATATGTGCTATAAGTTCTCCAAATACATTCAGACACTCATATGACTTGGTCATTAAGGTTAACTTTTCCCTCAGTAACTCCATATTGCAAAGCCTGGAGAGGAAGTACACTTAAAGTTACCACTACCTTGTGAACTTGTGCTTTTGCCAGGAGTTCTTACTCTGAGCACCACATGATCTGTTGGTGTTCATCAGATTCTGATTTTATCTCGTGCACCGTGTGCTCTGGTTGAAGTGCAAGACTAAATGTAACCCAGGTACTTGGAAACTGGAGGCAACTAAGAATTTGGCAATACAAGCACAGTAACTTTCCTTCCTACTAGACAAAAAATAATTCCTATTTAATCTTTGCTCTTTACGTGCCACCAGCTGTTCTTGTTGGACAGGATGCAGGAAGAGATAGATGCAAGCTGAAACCAACACAACTTGAATAGAGAGCGGATAAGGTCATTAAAGAGTAGTGTGGACAACCATTGCTCGATGTGACATGAGCAAGGTTTCACATGCATGCAGGGTTATGCTTGGATTTGTCTGTCTTGGCTTTGTAATTCCTCAAGCTTACAAGCCCAAGGAGAAAGCTCCTGCTCCCTTCTATCCTGGGGCACCCTCCAGACAGGTACAATTCAATGGAAGCTGTGTGGTATTTAAATGAGAGCCATGATCCCATTTAACCTGATGCTCACCCTTTCAGTGGTGTTTTGAAACACAACCAAGCTGTTGTGTGTGGGTTCAGACAGACTCAGTCCATGTGTTTCAGGTTACAAGCAGCTTGTATATCTTGTTGGACTGAGGGGTAAATGCTGACTTCACTGTATGAGCTAACCTTAGAGCAAGCACTCTGAATTCATCAAATGCAGGATGTGTAAAGGTGGGAGCTGGCCAGAAACTGCAGCTGTGTTTGAAAAACCAACCTCTGCAGGTCTCTGTTTTAAGAAGCATGATAATGGCTCAGCCTCCTGGTTCATTTGAAGAATTCACCGCCTAGCCAAGACAAAAACCTTCTTGCTTTGCTTAGCTGAGTATCTGCATGAGATCAAATCAGGTGTTCTCAGTAGGCACCAGCAAATCCACAATCTCCTACTGTAACACAACAAAGAGAAACTAGAGTTCAAACAATGAATTGAGGTAGTTAAGTAGTAGATATATACATACGTACTACAAATATTTCAGTGAAATATCATAGGGCTGTGCTAATTTAAACTTTTGTTACTGTCATCTACTTGTCAAGCAAAAGAGAAGGTGTAAATCTTGAGTAAATAAGAGTAAGTAACGGTGAGTTCAAAGGCACCTCTGGTTCGGTTCACTTCCCTTGAGCTGTGCCTGGACAGCAAATTCAAGCCTGAGCTAAAAGGGGAGCAGATTTTCTCAAATATTCTGGAAGACCCTACAAATAGATTGCTTTTAAATGGTTGACATAGCAGAATCCAAGTCCCATTTAGTAAACTGGTTTAGGTGTAATGTTACACTTGCCCTCACAGCGTATAAGGGATCTCAAAGTACATGAAACAAAGCAATTCGGTTTTCTGGGGTTTGTCTCCTCATCCCCTTCCTGCACAGTGCACATGGTACTTTTCTTTGGGCTGTTTTTACAACGTGTAGCCTGCTCACGTCAAAATCCCAAGTAATTCTCATCAGTTGGCTGATCGGGGGTCTTTTAGAGTGAGCTGGTTTTGTAAGCAGACTGTGATTTTGCACCTCGGAAGTGGCTTGACAAGAAGGTATTTTAAATGGAGCGAGCAGCTCAGTCGTGTTGTCACGTAACCTAAGGATGCCACATCCATCTGCTGCGTGGTACTATGAAAATAGGCTTTCAAAAGAATGCTTGGTTAAATCTACAGCTGCATTTTGGAGGCTCCTAACTATGTGCAGCCAGCAGCTGCAGAGAAAGGAGAAATACGCAATGGTGTATGTGCAGGAGGCACAGAGTTTACCCATCTAACATCTTGGGTACTTTGGCATCTTAACTGTTCCCCAAGGGTTTCTGTTGTCCTGCTTGTGAAAACTGCAAATTCACCAGTCTACAGGAAGTGTCTCGAATGAGAAAAATAACCTCAAACCTGTTACCTGAGTCTTTACCCAGAAACCAAGCTGCAGGTTTAAAAGTCACAAAACTAATTTTGTCTGCTTGTGTTGCTCTCAATTCCACTAAAAAGAGAACTAGAAGAAGAGCAGAGGGTTGTTGCCTCACTGGTGACTAATGTTAGTTCCACTACACGAGGAATTACTGGGAGTGACCCAGCAGGGGCCTGAGCTGTGCCAGGGGAAGTCAAGAGTTCAGGTATGTACACACTTCCAGTCTCCTGCATAGCAAACTGCATCTCTCTGGGCCAAAGCTGTGTCTGCTTCAGCATGGTGCTACACAAGTGTGCTTTACATAGAACTTTTGAGAAGTGCTTTTTTCTCTGAACCTGTGCAACTTCATGTGTACTGTTCTCATGTTCTTTCTTACAAACACTGCTGAGGAGAAACACGCCATAATTAGGCGCTTGATCTACGCCGCAATCACAACACAGAGCTGTCTATTTCATGAATGCTTCACTGGCCAAACAAGCTCTTCACAGAGAAAGTGCAGCGTGTTTAAATAACTTCTGCTGTGCTTTAATCTAGATAAATATCCCATGCATCTCACAGTTATCTGGCAGAGTAGCCTGTTTACATGCTCTCAAACTAACAGTAAGTGGAAAGCATGTACAGCTCCAGATCTCGGGATGTGAAATACTGTGGGCACGATTTGCTGCAGAGGTTCTTCTGTCACAAGGTAACTCCCTTTTAATACCCGGTATGGAGAGGAGGGTTTCTTCACCTAACTGATACGCGTCTTCCCGATGCTGAAAGGAGTCCGTGCAGCTGTACATGATGCTGCTTTGTTTCAGCTAGGACAGCAGTTTGTTACAGCTGTTGTGTTGTACGGCTGGCACACAACCACGTGCAGCCCAGCTCAACTGAAAATGGTGCGACTGCCCTGTTTAATGTAAGGGCGCATAGGACAAGACCAGCATTTAGCATAGCTTTGTAAAAGGCAACTCGAGTATCAGGAAAAGGTAATGGAATGAAAACCTCACCCCCTTCCTCTGCTCTCCAACGTAACTCTCCTCCGTGCTTGTTTTTCCTGTGCTGCCCTAAACCAAGCTCGCTCCCCAGGGAGGAGCCTTGGCCGCTGCGCAGCGGCTGCAATGCAGCTCCTCCGTGGTGATTCACCCCACTTGCTCCCACTGGGGTTAATAACTTAAGGGTTTTTTTTCTTCTACTGCTTTCCAACTTTCCTCCTCCCAGCTGCCATTTAACACACAAAACAGATGTGCAATTGGGGTTTTGCTGTCGGGTCTCACAGCACAATTGAGTGGTTGAGTCTTGCTTAACTCAGAAAAGTAACTACTCAGGAAATCATCTATGTGATGTGCTTAGTTCTTAAACCGCTAACAACTGCCACAAAAATGACAACGCAGAGCTGTAATCAAGTGCTGTGATTCCTACTGGACTAATATGAACCTCCTCCCAAGTCACTCTGAGAAGTACTGGAAACAGGGAGCAAGTCAACAGCCTCAGCGCCTCCTCCCTCCTCCAGGACTAACAGCTGACACACAGTTTTTGGACTTCTGATTAGCTTAGAATTTCCATTCCAGGCTATCATCTCACGAATCTGAACAGTGAAGCTGAAGTGATCTGAAGAGCCTAGGGCATGTCTGAATTTGAGAGGAGGAGGGAAGAATGAGCTAAAGGGCTGGAAGTCATGCGCAGCCGTGGCCAGCGACACTCAGAATAAGGCTACAACTGCAGTTCAGCCACAGTGCTGCTGCTGTTAAATTAGTGCCTCGTTTTATCATTACATGGTGAGCAGCGGTACACATCTTGACGTGTAATTTTAATAATAGCTTGTAAGTGTCAGTGATAATGTAATCTATTTAACAGTGAGCCTAAAGATGATCCAGAAGAGAGCATATTATGCCCCGCTAAAACAGCTAATCTGCATAAAACTTATGACAAGCCAGACCTTTTCAGTGTTTAACAAACTGGCGGAATATTCTTTTTTAAGGCACTGTCCAAATTGGTTTGGTCACAGATGACTATTTAAAGCCCATTCCAAAGCTGGCAAATACACCAGGGAAATAACACAAGAATGGGGAAAAAAATGCAACAACAAACCAGGCTCCATAAAACCAACAGCAGGCTGCCTCTAGGCAAAACCCCTCATGATTAACATCAGCAATAGTGGCTCCAGTTGTACCAAAACACAGGTCGGCATTTGTTTCAAGTACTTACTGGCCGCTTTTGTACAGGACTGGTGCAGGGCAGAGCACGAACTCGGATTCCACTGTTTTTGGTTTTTCATCTGAAAAAACAAACCACATGAGCTCAGTACACTGCTACTGAAATGAGAAGCTGATGTGTGCACGTGCTGTGAAGTCCCTTTCCTTATCGCAGCCTGCCGGGATGCTGGTTTGGTCATGTCTGGAACTTGCAACCAAGCCAGGCCCGAGTTAGGGGACAAGCTGTTGGTTTGGGGTTTTTTTTTTTTGGCTATATTTTTAACACACAACCCCACAAGTGACTTAAAATGTGAGCGTGAGCCCATGTTGAGCTTGCTTCATTTTACATGTCAGCTCGTGTTTCTGCAGAGACAATTCCCTATCGTGGTGACTTGTTTTGCAAAGAGTGAGAACATTGTTAGGGGTTTACTAATACTTGGAAGATGAAGATTTTTTCTAATTAGCTCCAAGGCTGTACGTTGCATTCAAGGACTTTTATCAGTTGTGATTGGAGCGTCTTTCTCGCGTGTTTCCTGTCCTTTTGAGTCTGTAGCTGTTTGCTAATCCCTGAGGCGTATAAAGCACGTATCTATAGAGCACTGAGTCCAGCAGAGCAGTCGTTTTCTGCACTTGTGGAAAGGAGAGGAAGGAGCTCTTCTACCTCATGTGTTTGGTAAAATGGGAAAAATTCTGCTCCTGTGGGCAGAACCACCCTCCCAACCCTCCCGTGGTGGCACTGTTCATTTCTGCACTGGATCTGCTCCTGCAAGCAGGGACTGTTTGCTGACTTAGGGGAGTGAGCAGATGAAGGACCTGCCAGATAAACCTGGAGATGCCTATCCTGCGTTTGGGAACAGGCAGATGTACGAGCAGTTCAGGGGCAGCTGAAGGAGGAGCTGTTAGCATAAATGAGCTTTTCTTATGTGCTATAATCTGCACTGACTGCTTGGCCTAGATTTGGGGCTAGTTGTGAGGTGGGGAAGAGGGATTAGCACATTGCCATATGTTTTTGTCTTAATGGTATGTTTCATAGATTATTTTTCTACCCCACAGCTACATTTGGCAGGTTTCCTTTCTAGCATTTGGTAATGCTTCTTTATAAATGCAAAAAGAGAAATGTGCCAAATGCATCTTTTAAAACCAGAAGAACTGAGAAAATAAGGGTTTGCTCTGAGGCTGGCTCCAAAGCAGAGCCCAGGCTATCATAAGGGAAACTCTGACTTGAAGCTCATCCTCATGCAAGTACCCCCCGTTACACCCCCAAATGGGGAGGGCTCTGCTGAGAGTGCCCCAGTTTTTCACAGAGGAGAATGCAATGACTCGTGGATAGTTTTCCTTTTCTTGGGACTGTCTCCTTCCTGATCTTCTGACCACCCCAGCTCTGATGTTTCTTCTAGGTTTTGTCCAAGACAAGTGCTTGGAGCTCAGTACAGCTGTAGAGAATGAGCTCGCATGTCAGGGAAGAGACTGCTTTAAACTTCCCTGTTTTCTTGCTGTCCTACTCCATAAACATCTGCTGTTGTCCAGCGCATGAAAACCCCGGTGGGTTGGAGCAGGCCTTTGGCAAGACCCCATAAATACGCAACTGCAGCAATGATTTCACCACACTGCAAACTCTAGCTCTGTAAAGCTAATTTATGCAACAAGTGTTAATAAGCAAGCTATAGTTTAACATAGGACACAAAGGTGACAATTTTAATTGAAGCTGAAGGGAAACTTATACAAGCAGAATTCACTTGCATAGGTTGCTTTTATCCAGAACCACTGTGCTATCCTGATATTCTTTCAAATTATTCTAGATACTTAACAGGCAGGAGAGATTGGCAGCCCATTCAAATGTATATGATATCCACAGTAAGGAAGAAACTGGAAACACATGCTCAACTGGGTAGGAATTTAAAGCAGGATAATATAAAAATCAGACACTGGGTAGGGAAAAAATGAGGTTTCTTTCTACGGGTTCATTTTTGGTCCTCTTCCAGTCTGGCTTGCTTTTAAGGGTTACTGCTCAGAGTGTGCTTAGACTAGCTGTTTGCTTTAGTTTCTGAATATAAAAAAGACGGTGATGGTTTCCATTAATGCCATTTTTTCCACCATCATCTGCCTTGTGCCAGCTGAGGGAACAGAGCAGCAAAAGGAGACTAATCCAAATTCTGGCATGATGTTTCATCTGCCCTGCTGCGAGTTAATGCACTGAGCAAGAGAAGACCAAGTCCTGAACATTTTGCTGAAAGTTAAATTCTCCATGAGCACACTTACTAAATAGACAGCAAGAAGAAAGCAGTCTGCACTACCTCTCAATTATTTTAACTTCTGCATCATTCTACTTGAAAAAGTATCCCCAATGACAGTTATAGTTTGACTAAGGAAGAACTCAGAACTGTAACATCTGGCCAATGGTGAGTACTAATTAAGAGAAGAAATAATCAAAGCTAGCCAACTGCATTCCCAAATAAAACCCCAGCTAAAGCTGTCTGTAAAAGAAGCAGTGGAGACTGTGAAACAATCTCTTTACACCGGTGCAGCTGGGATGTGGTGTTGGTGAGACTGGCCCCTGCAGGGGAGTGCTGCTTGGGATGCTGAGCTGATGAGCCCTGTTAAAATATAGGACAAAGCAGTACCCACTGTTCTGACTGGCTTTATTCTCTCTGTGCTGTAGCACAAGCTCCAGAAAGAAGACTCCACGCCATGGAGGGGCACCCATGCCCTGCCAAGCCCCCGAAATGAACAGCACGATTGGCTACACATTTGGTACACCAGACAGAATGAGCAGGGATGCTCGGCGCTAACAAGGTAAGTGCACCTCGGAAAACAGTGCTGCTTGGAATTGTGATGAGGGCCTGCGTCTCAGCTGGGGTTGTCTTACAGGGGGCAGCACTTGGTCTGTGCACTCTGCTCATGGGTTTTTTTCACTGGCAAACATCTGCTTACGTGGGAGTCAGGAGTGAGACAGTTGTCACCAGGTTAATCACACAGCCAGTTGCCAAACACCACTCACAGGTCAGCAGCAAATTCAAACTGCTGAGCAGGATGGGAAATAATATGCTTCCTCTTACTAATCCTCAGAACTTGCCTGCTTTCTTCCTCTTCCATAATTTTCTCTTTATATTTTAATCAAATGAGGTAACAAGAAAAATAAATTGCTTATTAGGAAATATAAAGGCAGATCTTAAAACTCCAGTACTTACGAATTGTAGTTCCATTCACTTGATAGGTGCAAGTTACACCATCTGTTCTCCCACCAAGGGTTAAGCCACTTCCTCTCAGAACAACCTGAAACTCCTCTGGAGAGAAAAACAGAGAACCAAAATCGCCAATCTTTAGTGTTGCCAAGTCAGACAAGGAGAATTTCAGTACACCCTACAATAAATGAAGCACAACACGGTAATGCTGCTGACCTACTCGGATCACCTTTTTAACTGACCCCGCTACTGCGTTCCTCAGTTAGGTCACCATAGGAAAAATAATGACTTGCTCCCAAATTGTTATCGCTGAGGCCACACTATTAAAATGGAAGTTGACTCTGCCTGTCAGCGGGATCTGGGTCAGTGGATTCCTTGGCTCTCATCGCACAAAGTTTCTCAGTGAATGCTGTGATATAAGAGAAATCTGGGTCTCATAAGATGACTCCTCAAACTTGCATCAGGTCCGCTTACAGTGGCAGATGAAGAAAAGATTCCTCCGCAGCTCTGTTTCTCTGGAGCTTGCATAAAGGCCACGCTATTTGTGAACTGCGCAGAGGAGGAGTGAAAATGGCTTGTTTACCAAGGCCACTCATTTCATTGAGACGATCCATGCTTTTACAAAACCATCAAAATAAGGAGATTTTGCAACTACCTTATTTGGAGTGGTCTCAAAGTCTGTGTGGGTTGTGAAACCCAGGAGAAAGACAAGCCCTTAAAATTTTGTGTGACTTTTCTACTTAAATGTATTACCACTTGCTGCTCAGAAATGCAGTCAAATGCTTTACTGCTTGCATTGCACAGGTTGAGGGCAGGGCACCAGAAATATTCTCATTAATTTACCTGAACATACCATGCCAGGATTCCCAGGCCTTAACTCGGTGACCACAGGTAAAACAGTACGTGAGTGTCACAGAAGAAATATTTTTGCTTTGAATACAAGGGCAAGTGCAGAGCATGACTAACAGGAGAGCAGCAGAGAAATGCCTCTCCAGCTTTTACATGCATTACCTAAATTAGGGAAGTAGGCCCTGGAAGACAGCTCTTTGGAGGAGAAAAATGAGTCAACGGAGAAGGATCTGATCTTCCTTAAACTCCTTGGATTTTTTTTTAGAGGTGTCTTAATCTAGACACTTGTGGCATTTTCCTTTGGGTAAATTATGGAAATTGCAGTCCTGTGATAACTGAATATTATGTTTAAATTATAAAAACTTACCTCCCACACAGACACTGGATGGCTCCAAATACAGGATCTCAGTGCATGATTGCTTCAAAACCTATTGCAAAGGAGGAAACTAGTCACAGATAGGTTTCAGGGTGCTATTTCAGTGAGGATTATTGTTTTAAAGTCCCTGGCAGAAGACGCACGTGCACAGCTACAGGTTTGACTTAGCAGGACATTGCATTGACCATGTAAAACTCCTACACGCCTGCACAGTCAACTCTCCTAAAAATTCCTAAGACTAGGATCAGTTAGTAAAATCCAGGACAGTCTTTAAAACATACTGATGTCTGACATTGGCCTTTAAATTTCTGTCCAGATCCCTAACCTCATTTTCCATGAACCCCGATTCTAATGTTTAAGCCAAGCATTAGTCACAAGGAGCCTGATCCAACCGTAACCCAGTCCAAAGCAGCCTTCCAGCGACCAGCGGGTCAGGCCAAGTGCACGTTCTCCCAAGTGCTGGCGCCACCCCTGCTACAGCAGAGCAGAGCAGGCGGCGCTCTCCGCTGCGCTGAGCTGTCGGACAGGGTTGTGTCGCTGCTGCATGCTTGCCCTGCTTTGGTCTCCGGCCACTCGGGGAACATTCTTCCCAGAGGCCAGCACAAAACCATGCTCCCACAGGTGACTGAGAAATACAGTGTATAGCAGGTAAAAGGAAGGAGGAACAAGACACCTCTGAACAATGTGCACGTGTACAGTCCCAGCCACTAGCCTTAGTTTCAGCCAAGTCACACTTTATCTGTAAGCGTTAACCCCCTTCTCTGTGAGCAGGTAACAGGATTTCTGCTACCTCGGGGGGAATAAGGCTCTTGAAGCTGGTAGGGTTAAACACACAAAATCTACAGTTTCACTTCCTTCTACCTTCGCATGATGAGGTGATAGAACAAGGGGAAACAGCACCAAGCTGTGCCAAGGGAGGTTCAGGTTAGAGAGAAGGAGGAAGTTCTTTACTGAGAGGGTCGTCAGAAGCTGGCACAGGCTGCCCAGGGAGGTGGTGGAGTCACCATCCCTGGATGTGTTTAAAGAGCGGGTAGATGAGGTACTTAGGGATATGGTTTAGTGGGTAGACAGGAGCGGTTGGACGTGATGATCTCAGAGGGCTTTTCCAACAGAGCGAGTCTCTGATTCTGTGTAATTTTTCCAAATGGTTTTTAATTTTCTTCTCACTCAGAAAACTTTGATACCTTTATATAGCTTTCCCTGTAACAAGTGGTATGTTTTTAGCAGGCATTCATATGTAATACTGCATGGCATCAGCTCAGGTCCTTGTAGTCATGAACATGGCCAAGTCCTGTTACTGCCCCTCCTCTACCTCAGTTTGCTAAAACTGCCTGCTCCAGAGCTGGCCTCACTGCCAGCAAACATAACTCTCTTGCTCGTAGCTTTTTCCTTCCTTCAAATGCAACTCTTTTTACTCTATCATCAGCTCTGTTTGCTAGTGACTTCTGTTGCTACGTATCTAGACCCAGTAGAAACAATACTGTATTCATCGCTGCGCATACTCCAAAAGCATGGCAGGCTCCAAGAAAGAGAATAACCTGCCTCATTTAACACTTGCTGTATCGCCCGTCTTCCTGCAAACTGTTGTGCACAAGTTATCTTTGTAGTGCTTTCAAAATCCACTTATAAACATTAGGTAGTAGCTAAAAAAAAATAGTAGAGACCTTGCATTTGGATGAGACACAGCAATAGAGATGTGTGGAAAGAATGCAGCTTAAGTTCAGTGCAAGGAAAGCAGTTTATATTAGCTGAGGACCTCATCTCGTTTCCAAAAAAGGACTTGGGTTTTGATTCCTATTTCAGTTTAGATAGATGAAGTGTTACTTAGTTTATTTTTGGAGGGGGGGGGAATTTTGTGCTAAATGAAATAGAGAAGTAATAAACCATTTTATTCCTTTACTGTAAAAACATGTTCTGGTTTCTTTTCCTTCTGATGAGACAGTCCTGTGAATAATCCCATGTGAGGCAATGAGACTCTAGACTTCCTTTAGTATGAAGCACAGATCTAGCACTCAGAGGTACGAAGGCCCACTGAATTAATTTATTCTTAGAGCAGCGCTAGATCAACAAGGAGGAACTTGAACTCCTGTCCTACCCCCATTTGCCCACTGTCGGATTAAGCAGGGCCCCATCAGGAATTTGGAGGAGGGGGCCAGAGGGGAAGACGATGATACACACAATTCACCTGTCCTTTCTTGGAAAGTAGTATTTCTGTACTTGCACCGTATTTTATAGTAATTTTCAAACACTGTATTTCTAAATGCAATATAAAACAAAAAACCTATTTGGACATGCTAACCCTTGGATTTAAGGATTAACTGGGGCAGGAGACCAACCCCAGCTGAGAAAAAATATGGCCTAGATTAAATGATCACAATTCGTGAACAAAAGCCATTTTTTAATGTAGGGTTCAGGATACACCGATTTCGCCCATGGCAGAATGGAATTAATACTTACACATGTAGGTGTGCTGCTTCTGATGCAAAGCAGGACAATATTGGGGTTTAATACTGTTCCTAGAAACAACTAATTGCTTTGACAGTAGCTCTTCACCATTTCATCTACTGCTGTTTTCCACTTGGCTCGAGAAACCTGCTCTGTTCAGAGATCCTCAGCCTCTCTGCAGGGGCAGTGGCCCAAGACTCTTTTCACTTTCACCCAATCAAAGCTTAGGTTAGGAAAAAACCTGTGTGAATGTATTAGTTTAAGTTATTCAAACTACTTCTTTTTCATCCTTCAAAAAGCTTCCTCGTAGACCATGCTTTGAAAAATGGGTACTGTTATAGCAACGTGCCCTGTCCTGTAACATCCTCTCCTTCAGTAACAATCATCAAGTACCCTTAAGAGGCAAAAATAAATGAAACCCTGTAAAGACTTGACTGGTATCAGGTAGAACCAGCCTAAAAGCATTTAGATATGTCATTCCTTAAGCTTTACTTTCTGGGTTCTTCTCAATGCTGAAACAGCACACAGAAACGAATTTTCCATCATTTAAGCACAAATCGGATAGAGCATTCCTGCAAAGGATCAATCCTGTTAGCCGTACACAGTCTGAATGGTTTATCTCACAAGGACATGGTAACCAGCATTTAGCTGTCACAGTGGAAAACCCGGAAATGTTTTCATAGGCAGCTGTGGACACCCGTTCTTCCACATGGGAGAGGAGAAGGTATTTTCACATCTTAGAAGGAGGTATAAAAATTTACGGTCTTCCTCTACTCTCTTCCTTCTCTGGCTTATGCTCTTTCCTGTCTGTTTTAATCTATCTTTATCACTTTCCATGCAAGCTGCTCCTTCCAAGAGAGCACAGTGCGCTCCAGTGAAAGGCTCATCTCTTCTTTAGGAGGGATGAGGTAAAGGCATCTTGCCCATCTTGTGAGTGCTTATCACGTAACATGCCTTCACCCCTCTAGGTCAGGGCTGTTCCTGTTTCACTCTTTCTAGTCCCCCTGTGCAATACTGTTCAGTGAGAGCCGATGAGGGATTTTCCTCGTTAATTGTTTCAGTTCCGCTTTTCAAAACACTGGTGCTTTACTGTACAGCTGAGAGAGGTAAGCACTGGGCTTGTGCGCGGTGCGTGGCAGCTCTCTGCACAGCTAACACCCCCTGTCCCTGCCACTTGTGCTGCAGCCCAAGAGCAGGGGTCTGACCAGTCTCAGCAGGCACAGTTTGTCATGGAGCAGCGGCACTGTACAAACCACAGCATGCCCATCGCTTCACCTCCTGTCTTCCCTCCCCTTTAAAAATTTAAAGCTAGCTGTAAACTATCGTGCTCGGCTGCCAAGTCAGCAAGGCTAAAATGAACTCTACAAGAAAAAAAACTACTCTGCTCCCTCTCTTTCCCAGTTCAGGACAATTCAACAGAATGAATGGGAATTACAATTCATTTAGAAACCTACTGCCCACAAGAAAACTTTAAATACTCACTATATAAGGCCACCCCTGAATAGGATAGTTAAGCACTCTGCTGACATAAAATAAATTCAAATAAGACTATAAATGCACTTAGTTTAACAGCACGCAGGGAGAGGTTCAGAGATTGAGATAATCCCTTTTGTTTCCAGAGCTCCACAGCAAACACAGGGCTCTGTTCTACCGAGCTTGTGAGTCTCCCCTTCCAGCCGCCTCCCTCAGCACTGGCTGTCCCAGAAAGAAACGCTTCCCCACAAACCCAAGTGCAGAGAGGTTCAAACCTGTCATCCTGCGCTGGTCTTTCACAGCTCCAGAAGGGGAGAACCGAGGCAGGACTACAGAGGCTATCCAGGCAGGGACAGAGCTGTGCTGGGCACAGCTGACTGCAGCTGAAACATGGGGGTAATCAGAGGGGAGAGGGCTGCCTCCATCACAGCTGTGGGTGTTTCACTTAAATGCTTGTTAGGGAGCACGTGTGGCTGCTGGACAGAGAGAAGGCAGCAGTGCTGCCCTGCAAGGTACTTGGTCTCTTGTACTTAAAGAAAATGACACTTAAAATGCAGGCCCCAACATCCTCTTGTTCAATGGCAAGAAAAAAAAAAGACTGCTGAGGGAAACCTATTCTGTAGCTCCTCTGACAGAATTTGTTATACTGCTGCCATACTGCATCTAAAAGCATCTAAAATTTAAAATATGTTGTTATACTGTTTCCTACGAGCAGCTATTAAAAAAGCCACCTCAGTAACAAGCAGCATGCAGGCAGCTTATGCTGAGTGCTGAAAACGCCACCCAGCCCAGCTCCTGAGGGCCAGCTGAAGGCAAAAGAGCCTCTGAGGCTTTTAGTGAAATCACATCTTTCAGCTATTAAGTGATTGGATACTGTACAGTTTCCATAGCATTTCTCAGTAATGCGAGTTAATCGTTTCAGAATACTTCCGAGAGCAGAAGTTATCAGAATAAAGGCATCAGGAACATCCCCCGGGCACTCAAAAGCAAATTCATCCTTGATTTAAACTCCCTGACGTAAACTGGGATTCTGTGTGGCCAGACAAGCTTTGCTTTCCTAAAAGGGTCCCTGACAACTCCGCTGCTGGACTGCCCAGCTCCATCTGCCAGCCAGCCATGTTCTTTAACTGCATG